GGTTTCTGTCACCATCTCTCTCACTGCCAGACCGGGCTCCGGCACTGGCAGGGGCACGTCAGCCTCCCATGAGCACAGGGGAAGAGCAAACCGCTTTGAAGAGACAAAGCAGTGGTTTTAAGAGGGGCAGGCAGCTCAGAAAGCACAGCACACTGTGGCAGGAGGTAGCAAGCCAGTGTGGTTTATTTTTTAAAGCCAAATATAAACAGGAAATGAACCAAATCATTTCCAGCCTCCAGCTGCACCAGATCGAATAAAATACCTGTTTAAAAAAAGGACAGATGTCCCCATCCTGCAACCTCAGCTGCCAACGTCAGAGGGATCCTGAGGCTCAGCAGTCCTCAGCCTCCGGGCCTAGGGCAGACAATTTTTCATCTAATATGTCTTTTTGCCCAGCCCAGGCATCCCCAGCCAAAAGGAGGAGGGTAGGAGAGAGGGGTAGCACACTCAGCACTCTGCCCTTGCCCACAGCCAGTTCCTGTGTCCTCGTGTGGGGGAAAAGCCACCAGCCAGGCAGGCAGGACCGATGGAACTGTGACGTCCCTTGGAGATGCTCAACCCTGAGCAACCCGGTACAAAGCTGAAGGTGGCCTGGAAGGGATCAGAAGACCCCCAGGGGCCCTCCTCCAGGCCAAAGTCATCTTTTCCTCCCCTTGCCCTCCTCTGCTCAGCAGCAGACGCCCAGAAGATGCAGCTCTCCACCATCCAAAGGCAGGGCTGGCTGGTGCGTAGGGCCCAGGGACCTCCGTTTTTCCCCCGTAAAGGTTGGTGACAAACCACGACAGTTCGTCACAGAGGCCACCCACCCAGCCCCTCAGCTCTGGGGGCTGTCAGGGCACTCCACAGTGGCCCCCCCACCCTGGTCCTGTGTGTCAGGATGGGTCCAGAGGAGTGCAAAAGGCTTCCCAAGAGGATGCTGCACCATTAGCCATCCCTCCCCTGCCCCAGGGAACGCACCTTGCTGGTGGAGGGCCCTGAGCAGCTCTTCAGCCTCTCTCACAAGCAGCAGCACATCAAGACATCATCCTGTAAGGGAGGACAGCCCCCCCCCCCAGGAGGCTGCTGCCCACAGCCCTCGCTCCCTGCTAGGGGAAGTCTGGGAATGGCACTACCTTTATAACCTACCGGACCCAGTGGCACCACTCAAAACCAGCCCCCAACTGCTGCTCAGCGCTCTGTGCCATTTTCCTAACGATCCGGACAGCAATTAATACTTGCTTCCCACCCGCTTTCCCACCCTCTGCATTTTTTTCTTCGCCCTCCAGAAAGCCATTTTAATGTGATAGCACCCTGGCTGTTCTGTGGCTGCTCATTGGGACAGCAGGTCTGTGAAGTCAGACAAGAGAAGGGTTGCAATTCCACCTCCTCCAGAAAGGAAAACACCCCTTTTCCCAAGTGAACTCCGCACAGATACGACAGGACAAATGGCGATGTATATGCATATGTATCATCTTTAACATAGGTACATTCACGCAGACCCAGACATTACTCACAGAGACAAGGAACTTTTGGGATCCACTGCTGTCTTCTGGGGTGACTGCAAAGATGCCTGTGCTGCCAGGAGAGAAGGAGGGGTCAGAAGACCCACCTGATGCATAGGCCAACACCTCATGCGTGACCTCCATCAACCCAAAGAGGCACTTCCCGGCTGTGCTGGACCTCGGATGCTCAGCCTGTGGGAACTGATGTGCATTTCAAGAGGTTGCTCAAGCAGGGATAGAGAGGTAGCCTGGTGGGTTTTTTTCCAGTTTTCCCTGGCCACCCCGGATGCTTGGGCTGAGGTCTCCCACAGCTGCAAATACTTACGTGGGAATTCCTCCTCACCAAGACCAAAGACTCAACCCATAGGATGCAACACAGCCTACCGCACGGCCAGCGGCAGGACAGAACGAGGCAAGGGGCATGCCTAACCAAACAGGAACAAAAATGGGGAGCCTTTACACACCATTTCCTTTGGTTTTGCCTGAAGTCCCAAAATGGGACTTGGACCCTGTGCTGATGTTGTGCAGTGCCTATTGAAATGCCTCCAGTCTCTTCCAAATTTGGCACATACAAGGCTGTGTTGGCACTGCTGGACAACACCAACACCCACATAACCAGGCACTGACACGGTCTGCACAGCAGGGTAGGCAGGTAGACCTGTCCTGAGAGCACAGTTTCTCTACAAAATGTTTGCTGAAGTGACAAGAGGTTTTAGTTACAGGCCTGGCTGGGTTGCCTTGTGTATGCAAGTCACTTGCAGTACATCTGTCCCCTATTGCACAGTAACACTCCCCTTTTGCACCCCATGCAAAAACGGAAATCGTTAGGAGTCTGTGGGTGGAGGAAGTGAGCGTGAACCTCGTGAGGAGCAGCTCCCACGCTTCCTCCTTGTCCAAACTCTCTTCAGAGTACAAACATAGGGTGGCCCCAGACACATGGGTATAACAGGCTCTGCCAGCTACTCTGGGACCCCCATCTTAAAGTACACAGCATATTTTCAAGTGGGTTAGATACACACTATCCAGCACCAGTTTTCAGAGAAACTTTGGGCAGCTTTTTGTTGACTCCTGTGGCTTTTTTATGGCACAATTCTACCTGGCATTGAGGCAGCACCTCTCGCTGAGGACTCCTATAAGCTTGGTATGTGGCAATTCCCTTGATGCACTTGAGAGGGGCAAGGTGTGAACAGACCGCCCGTTTGGCATAGGGGAGCATAAAGCCCCAGGAAACTCACTGATATCTACGCTGTTGCAGAGCTAGCCTCATCAAAGCTGAGGCTGGGAATGGGGAGTCCAAGCCCTGCTCCTGCATGCCTGTTCTCAGCTACCAGCATCAACCTTGTGACTCAACAGACCCATTCCCAACCTTGCATCCCTGCTAGGAATCTTTTGGGATCTGCTTTCAACCCTCAAAAACAGTTGGAGGGGTGGGATCTACTCCAACCCTCAAAAACAAGAGACAGATTTTTAAGATTTTTGCCTAATGATTCCCTACCCTGCTTTCAGTTGGATCCATTCTGCTTCCATAGAAATTCTTCAGCTCCTTCCCTCCCTCCAAGTTCATTTCAGTACAGACTTCTTTAAAGACATAGTTCTACTTGGAGTAGAGCACCTTCACCATTCCTCAGCACTAACCACACAGGGCTCTTCTTCCTAAAGCACCAAGATTCCTGCACACCACCACCACTCTGCTGGCAAAAGAGCTGGGCTTTCAATATTTATTTCTCATATTTTATCAGTGCTCAATATTTCAATAGGACAGCATGCAGTTCAAGCATTCTTTTAAGAGAAGGGCTGTGTGATTTCATGTGGTGATACCTGAAGTGCTATAATAGACTAAGAGCATCCACCTAACTCTACAGGGCACAGTACCTAATTCTCATCTCTGACGTAACTACTGTATTGCAACTGGACAGTGACAGGAGACACTAGTGGCAGCTAGTCTATAGACGTTGCTTCGGAAACCACAAAGATACGCAGGCTCTGTGTATACACAAACACTGTGTCACTCTGCACCCCATAATACCTGAACCCAGAGGAAAACCTTTTCTGCAGTGGTCCTGTCTGGGCCTTTAAGTCATCTTGAAATTGATGTGCCTTGAGCTGCT